GTGGAATGGAGGAAAGGATGGGAGAGAAAAGGGTTGAGGTTGAACAGTGCGGAATTCGAGGGCAGGGTAGCGTCTACATGTACTGCGGCAATCCTCTAGTAATGCAAAACGATGGAGTTAAACAGTGGTGCTTCCGTATCTACTTACTATTTATTCATGCCGCCGGTCTGCGCCGCTCTCGCATACTCCCTTCGGCAAGCCCTCCACCTCCCCGATGTTGTCTCAAATTCATTCTACTCTCCAGCCTTAGAATTGCACTCGTCGCCTCGAAGCAAGCATGGTGTTTTCAACATCTTTACCGTCGCATGTCCAAAGGATACTCGACCTCAGAGAAACGCGACCCAAGCACCAGCCATACTCGGTCGCACTCCCAGGTACAAGCCAACCTGGTCGCTCAAATGTGTACAGACATTGGCAATTTGTAGATGGATTGTTGGAGGGTATCGGCCCAGATATATTGACGGCTCACGACATGTTCGAGGCCACTGTGAAGAGTAATCCAAAGTCAGACTATCTGGGCCGCCGACCCTACGACCTCGTTCGGCAATGTCATCTTCCTTGGGAGTGGCTGAGTTTCAAAACTGTCCAGCAACGCAGGAACAACATCGGAAAGGGTCTGGTAGAGATTCACGAGCGCGTCGGTAAGTTCGGAACACAATTTGGCATTGGGCTATGGTGCGAAAACCGACCTGAATGGCCAATTGTCGACCTCGCATGCATGTCGCAATCACTCTTCAGTGTCTCATTATACGACACGCTGGGCCCAGACGCATCAGAGTACATTATTCGTCACGCCGAGTTGACATGCGTTGTTACTTCTGTCACTCATGTTCCAGCACTGATCGCTCTAAAGCCGAACTTGCCTGGGCTCAAGTGTCTGGTGATACTGGACGATGTTCAGTCCCGCTCAGACAACCAAGGCTCTCTGTCGCGCAACCGGCTGTTGGTATCCATCACAGAAGCACTCAAGCTGGACCTTCAGATCTACTCGCTGAAAGAAATTGAGCAATTGGGCGCAGCCTCTTCCAGGTCATTGCGGCCCCCACAGCCGGATGATATAGCCACCATCAACTACACCTCGGGAACTACCGGGGCGCCCAAAGGCGTCGTCTTGACACACAAGGGCTCGGTCGCAGCGACAGTTGGCTCTCTCCTTGATGCGGGACTGCCGGGCAACGATGTCATGATCTCCTATCTACCACTAGCACACGTCTATGGCCGACTTTTGGAACACCTCGGCGCTTTCAGTGGGGCCAAGATGGGATATTTCAGCGGCGACATTTCCAATCTTGTAGAGGGTCTGCAGTCCCTCCGGCCGACTATCTTCCCATCAGTCCCAAGAATCTACAACCGATTCGGCGGTATCCTCAAGTCGGCTACACTCGAAGCTTCCGGGATCCGAGGGGCTGTGAGCAGGTACATTGTGGCAACCAAACTGGCGAACCTCGAAGACGCAGAAGCTCCTACTAACAAGCACCCGCTTCACGATAGGATCTGGGGCCGGCAAATCATGGCCACACTGGGCCTCGACCGCGCACATACAATGATTACCGGTTCTGCGCCACTCGACCCAGCATTGCACAAGTTCTTGAGTGTGGTGAGTGGATCTAGCGTGATCCAGGGTTACGGTATGACCGAGACGTACGCTTGTGCATTGGCACAAAATCGGGCTGATGCCAGCACGGGACACTGCGGAGGTCTCGTACCGTCGACAGAGGCCTGCTTGCTCTCCGTGCCTGAGATGGGCTACACCATCGAAGATGTCCCGTGTTCACGTGGCGAACTCCTGCTGCGGGGACCCAACTTATTCAAAGGGTATCTGAAGAACCCGGAGCAAACGGCCGAGAGCTTCACCGAAGACGGTTGGTTCCGCACGGGCGATATCGCATCAATCGACGACATGGGTCGCTTCACCATTGTCGACCGTCGCAAGAACCTTCTCAAGCTCGCTCAAGGCGAGTACATATCGCCAGAGCGCCTCGAGGGAATATATCTATCTGGCTGCAGATACATCGCTCAGGCCTTTGTTCATGGTGACAGTCTGCAGGCATTCACCATCGGCATGTTTGGTGTAGACCCTGAGCTTTTTGCGCCTCTTGCATCCCAGGTCCTCGGCCGTATAGTTTTATCGTCGGACTTGCCAGCCATCAGAGAAGCCTGTGGGGATGCTGCAGTGCGTGCTCGGGTATTCCAGGATCTCGAGGCGGTGGGCAAGGCGAACAAGTTTGCGAGTTACGAGCGTGTCAAGAACTTTGACCTCTCCATCGAACCGTTCTCGGTAGGCAACGAAACTCTGACACCAACTCTCAAACTTCAGCGGAAGAAAGTCGGAGACTTGTATCGAGACCGGCTCTCGGAATTGTATGCTCAAGTCTTGGAGGGTCGCGAGGACCACATCACAGCTCGAGCTGTCTCCAAGCTGTGAGGTAGAATCAAACAAGTTGAGTGTACTCTCGTGTACCAGAGACATCTAGAGTTGGGACACTTGAAATGATGATAGGAGAACGAGGTTTTCAATGCTCTCAAATTTCCCAGTCGAGGCATACTTTCTCTGGACAATACAGCTACCACTAGAACGTGCATCACTCATCATTCAGCCCACGTCCGAGGCGAAAGATATGTTAATGACAGTGTCTAGAACTTTCTCTACAAATTTGTTAGACCCCATTGCTTATAGAAATCCATTTCCTCCTCGGAGAAGGGAGTTGAGTCAATATTGAACAAAGTAGAGGACAAAAAGAAATCGTGATCGATGTTTGCATCCCCCAAGAGCGCATCTCCTTCGCTATTACAGGGTGTTTGGCCATGAACTGCATCTTGATACTCCCTAGATGCCGGTTGCGTAGACACCGGGGTGACCACATCATAGGCGGTTGTTTCGCGAGTAGCATCCTGCGGCTCACTGGCTTGTAGGGGTCCTACGGCTGCTGTTCCTGCATGATTACAACTTCCCCTACGAGACGTTCTTCTGCTTTGAGCCGAGGGAAGAGGCTCAGCCGTCTTCATGATTTGGAGAAAGAAACGATACTGTATCTCGGCGGAACAGTAAATCTTGCCGAGATGGGAAAGAACAAGCATGTGGAGGTTTACATTGTGCAACGCTAGTTGGCGGCCGATTCCCTCTGAACGGCACGCTTCGTGGAGGTGTACTCCAATGGCGGAATTGATGCAGGTCGGGAGCGTGGGGGGTGAAACGTTGAGTAGGTCAGCGCGTACAAGGTCGTTGACGGCCTTTGTGATGGCCGAAGCGGCTGTGGTGTACCTGTCCATTGCGAGCGATTGGATATTGCATGGCTCGAGAGGAGTTGTTGAGCTTTGCTTTGACGGGATGAGGTACGGTCGGTGAAGAGCAATTAACACAGTTCCATGGTAAATCTTGAGGACACTGCGATGTAATAACAAGAGTGGTGTTTCCCCCATCAGTTCCACGCAGACTTTGCTCTGCATTGCCTGGAGAGTACTGTAATGTAATTCGAGAGCCGCGAGCGACGCGGGTGGTTGACTAGGCCGAAAGTTGAGTCGTAAGATTGTTTCCAGTTCAACAGCCAGCTTCAGCAACTCTATCCATAGAGGCACAAGTGTTTCAAACTCGCGAGGAATGAATGTTTCTCGCAGTGTAGCTGGAAGGCTGTCAACATCGTTCAGCACTGCGGCGGGTTCTGGCATTGGTAAGTCGCAATCTTCCGAGTTGATTCGGAGTGGCCTGCCAAAACCGAGACCGAGCCAAACCTCACGGGAGTAAAGACTCCACCAGATACGTGCCCAAATACTACACTGTGACTGGGAAAATGGAGAAGATTGGACCCGTTCGCATGTTGGTTTTCGGTGGAAACCGATGCTGTGTGCTAGACCGGTTGCCACTCCAATCCAGTGGCATGGCCCGTCCAGATCTTCTCGGTCCACGAGGTGATACGAGAGGAGTATGCAAGCCTGTATTATTGTCGGCTTGTCTACCTCGATCTGGCTGTCATAGAGCGCCTTTACAAAACACTGTCAGCGATTATGTTGTCGCTTGCTTTATAACATTGCCGCTTGCCTGGTGGCATGCTATGGAACGGATGGGGTCCATCTAGAGGAAAAGCTCACCTTGGCATGCCGGTAGATATCCTCTTGGTATTCCTTTCTGGTTCTGAACTCAGTGGCTTGCCAATGCTCTGGCTTGACGAACTTGATGAAGTGTTATGTTAGAATGTCGCCATATTGGTCATGGATGGGAACAGGGTAAAGAGAGGTGGAGATTCCTACCGTAGCGGCAGCAAATAAGACGCTCCACAGCAGGAGGGGGCTGATGTTGCTTGGCTGGTTGGCGAATGCTGAAATGAAACGGCCCGCATCGATGACAGGTAAATACGGGTGAAGGTAACGAAAATAGCAACAAATCATGTCATGAAGAGCCGCCGGTTCAGGCAGCGGGCGCGCCATCAGGGGAGATGTGATATGTGCCGGGGGAAAGTAACGACGCTGTCGCTGAATGATGTAAAAGTTGCCTGGCAAAGGACGAGAAGGATAGCAAACGTCGAAGAGCAAAGCCATGCCAGCAGACTCGCCTGTACGCCCGAGTATGTCAGTCTCGAGAGGGCTTGCCTAATAGCCAGAAGAGATAGACAACAAACCAATATAGTAGAGAACAGGAGCATTCGGGGTGCCATGTGCATAAGTTGGATCATGTGCGGTACACAATAAGTTCTCAATACTGGTCGGGCGATACTGCCGCTTCGAAGATGGGCCCGGATCTGGTTCCGGATCGGGGCTGGAGTGCTCGTCTCCTCGGCCAGGCAGATGCTGTGAAGAGCTGGAGGGCGACGGCATGGCCGGAGATATCGGAGGCGGCGGCGGCGGCGGGACATCAGACGGGGCCCGGCTGCCATACACGCGGCAGGTTACATTGCCATCCTCCGAGCAGTTTGTGCAGGGCGGGCCCTGAGCGGCGAGATTGCAGCGGACCTTGCGCTGATGGCAGGCAACGCATGCGATAGCAGAGCGCTTCCTCTTGGTGCTGCCGGCCATTGCTGCAGCAGCCAGCGTAGACCTGCCGGTGGTGGACATCTTCGGAGCCGAACTCATCTCTTCGTCAATCATGGAGCTGGGAAATGACAGGCAAGGGGGGTGCAGTGTGTTCGGCAAGCGGCAGCAGGCCGAGGTACATATGTAGTAGGAAGGTGCCGCGGATCTGGCCTTGTGCAACCATTTGCCATCCAAGCTTACCGCTTTACCCCAGATTCCTTCCCCGCACTCGTCTCCGCAATTTTCCGTCTCCGCAATCATGGAACCGCCGCGGCCCTACGCGACAACCACGCTAAGCCATAAGTGGAGATTGGTTTGATTTCTAGCGGTTCGGTGTAATTGTCCACACACAATTCACAGTATGATCACGTTCGAGAGCCGGTGGGAGATATCGAGTAGATGTTGCCTTTGACAATCGAACAACTTTGCCGTCTTCACTAGCCACCTCCGTCTCGACCCGAGCTGAACTGCCTTTGAGGGGTTGGGCCGTGCCAGAAATGCCTCTCGCTATTCCCCCCGTTGCCGCTACCTTGCCTTGATACCGAAGAGAGCTGGGCTGGGCTCATTGATAAGAAGCGTTCTCCAGCCAGGAACGGAGCGAATGGGCCCCATTCTTCAATTCCCTTTTTGATAATCACTCAAACAATCATCTTCTGTCTTGTCCGTGCCTAATCCTTTACCTAGCTTTTGTAACTGCCATGGCTCGATTCATTCCAAACGTCTTCAACTTCTGGGTTGTAGTGTTTGTTGCAATTGGTTCCATTGCCTGCTCCTATGGCCTCGCAATTATGGGGTAAGCTCTGATCCTCTTCTTTCCCTGTATATGGTTCTCGGTGTTTTCTCTGAGAATACTAAGTCGCTGACGGGGTGGAATCGTAGAGCCATCATAGGACAGCCATCGTTCTATGTAAGTCAACATACCCACTTCCTGGCACCCCCCTGTTTCTGGCACCCACAAAAACGCGAAAATCCACCACAACCCAATGCCCACCCCCAACCTCCTTTTATCACAACATTTTCAATTCGCGTCCAAATGGGCTCATCTTTTGCACATGTCTTCTTCTATATATAATGCCTCAATATACCGAAGATCAGCTTCGTCAGGCTCTCGAGGA